GTAACTTACTAAGTTGCGGCTGGTTCACGAAACTGTCCGGATTAGTTTTCGTATTCGTTGATGCTTTACCTATCGACGCTGCTGGAACACGGTTGTTTACCAAACTTGCCCGGTAAATACTCAATAATGAGACTACAACTCACGTGCAATTAATTCGTCGCCATACTTATTACCGTTGACCTTTTTTGGTTGAGCTATAATGCTTTTAAAAGCAAATTTAGAGTGACCCGTTGGAGGAAGCAAAGAAAACTTACGACATTCAGACTTCGGAACGCACTTGCCATCTTTTCTGTAGAAATTTGATTTACATATGCATGCAGGTGGATTGCAAATTTCTATGCACACTTTCGGCTATAATATTAGCAATTAATATAAGAAAAAAAGAGTGATCAACTGACAGTGAGTGTACTTTTTTCCGCCTCTGCGCATGTCACCAACTTTGTAATACTAGTTCAACTCCCTTCAGCCATTCACTTTAATTAACATTAAATCAAACGACAGTGGCAACTTGTCCGTGCTCTTTTTGGAAAGTTTCTAAGAACAAGATGATTGACATTACTGAATTTTTGTTTTTTATCACCTAGGCTAGCTCGCTCATGAATCTACAATTGAGGAAATAATATTTGAGAATTCAATGGATTCTAGGCTTACACCTAGAAGTGTTTGTGGTTCTTATTACAGGTAAATGTTGGAGTTCGAGATTGCCAATGCAGTTCTAATAAGGTTAACCTCTACCTCTCCAAACGCGTTCTCACAACCTGGCTCGCAGAGATTGCCGCACGGCCCAATTTCTTCATTAACGCCGCAGACTGAAAAGACATTGAGGAAGCATTGAATCTTCTGCGGGGAAGAATACCCAATTTTCAAACTCAGGACTAACCTAATGGACAATCCCTTGCTGTTACACAAACGCCCATGGCATTTCTATGGAATCCGTTTTTGCATGAACAAGCCGGGGGCCCACATATCAATGGGCAAGGAACAGGGCCCTTAATATCCAACATTAGCCAAAAGTGATGATCAAAGTGTACTTATTTGAGTACCTTCCCCAGGTTCGCACATTTTCCTTCGCAAAGATTTCCACAGTTGTTAAGGGTCTCATTAGCGCTGCATTCTGGAAGGAAGTTATGGAACAGAAGGACAGAAAAAAAGATACAAACTGGGAAAAACAAAATAGTGCAAACAAACACTTTTGCGAAAATTTTGTACGAGAATCAATCATATTATCTTCTGGGAAAGTGTTCCTTACAAACGCGGAATTCCGTCAACGATCAAGCTCTGGCTCAAATTTTATTGCAGGTACAATTTAGGAAAATCAACATAATTTGATTTTCAAGCCCTTGTACACTTTATTAAAAATTATCATAGAAGAACTTTGCAAAAGGCTTCAGAATAGGTAAACAATTCCTTTGCATGTTTAATAGTAATATATGAGAAGAAAATCTAAAACCGTTCAAAATATACTGAGCAGATTTGGACTGCAATTGTTACGAGGCGAAATGTAACGTAAAGGGCAATGATTTCAAACGACGGAAGACAATCTGGCAAAACTTACTTGTTTCTGGTTGATTAACATTGTTATTCCCACTGGATGACCTGGCTG